TCTCTCTCTCTCTCTCCCTCTCTCATTCTAAGTGAATCCCCAGTCTTCAAAAACTCCCCACACCCCTCCTCTCCCTTCTCTCTCCCTCCTCATCTTTGCCCAGGCTTGGTGTCAGTTTTCTGTCTCCTGAGGAATTTTTACAACAGAGCCCTTAAACAAGATAAGCCAAGTTACTGCATGTAAATCTACATAATCCAAGAGCCAATGAATATTTAGTATGAATGATTTTTCATTTAATATTTCATTTTGTTTCCATATGCTTGATGAAGTGGACGTAGCTATGAAAGCTAACATTGAAATATAATAGTTTTTAAGGTGCCAAATGTTTTTGTCTTGTTTTGTTTCTTTGAATTTTGCCTGATACAATTACTCAAAGATGCTCAAAGGAATTATTTCCTTTAGGATACATCCTGGGAAAGAGGACATCAAAGAAAGACCAGTTTCAATGAGCTTTTATGAGCTTTTGTACATACCTTCTATATCAATGGTTCCCCAAACTTTTTCGAATCGTGATACCCTTTTATAATAGCCACGTCACCTTGTGCCTCTTGCCACGTTTGCAAAAAACTCTGAAAGGACAAGAAAAAAAATTATTTAAGAAGGGCTACAACACATCTTGAAGGGCGTGCTCTGGTCCATGGGGTCATGAAGAGTCGGACACGACTAAATGACTAAACAACAACGACACATCTAAGGTGACCCACAACCCCCCCGAAAACACTTCATGGCCCTCTTTAAATCCCCCAGGTTGGAAACACTGTTCTATATATTTACTCTACATTTCTTTGATTCCTTGGCTGGTCCTTACATTCACATTGTTGTGTGTATCTGACTATCTCTGTTAGCTAGCATGATAAAACACTGTCCTAAACCCTCAATGCACCTCAGCACAGATTCTTAAGAGGAAGTTCTCCATAGTAGTTATGAGCTGTTGAAGACTTTCAATGTGTTTGGGTGACAATGAAAATTCCTTAGCTTTAGGCCAAGTTTCATGGAAACTTGTTTTTTAGCCTCAGAAGAGAAGAGTAGGACAAAGCAGAGAGATTTCTCTGATGTTTCTTTTTCTGCCTTTTTAGGAGGTACTCTGAAATGTCCAGTTTGTGAGACAACTGGTAGGAATTGTGATGGACCCATGAAGACCTGTCTCCCTGAGTATGAGCAATGTGGCATTATTTCATGGGAGAAATCATTTGGTGAGTTTAAAAAAAAAAACCCAAAGTGTATAGCAAAGGGCAGTGTCATGGAACAATTCAGGATGGTTTTTTTTAATCCTCTCTGGGCTGATCTGGTTTAACCATTCATGCTAACAACTCTGTAGGAGTTCTGACTGAGAAACGTTTGTTTGTCTTATTTATATGCCGCTCAAGGCGCCTCTCAATATTAAAAGAAATAGAATTAAAAACACAATAAGATTAAAAACAATTAAGCTATATGCCAATTAAATTGCAACAGAGTAATTAAAAGCAAGCAAACATTAAAAGGGACATGGTGGCGATGTGGGTTAAACCACAGGAGCCTCTGTGCTGCAAGGTCAGAAGACCAGCTGTTGTAAGATCGAATCCACGCGACGGAGTGAGCTCTCGTCGCTTGTCCCAGCTCCTGCCAACTTAGCAGTTCGAAAGCATGTAAAAATGTGAGTAGATAAATAGGTACCACCTCGGTGGGAAGGTAACAGCATTCCGTGTCTAGTCGCACTGGCCACGTGACCACAGAAACTGTCTTTGGACAAACACTGGCTCTATGGCTTGGAAACGGGGATGAGCACCGCACCCTAAAGTCAGACACGACTGGACCAAATGTCAAGGGGAACCTTTAACTTTATCTAAACATTAAAAATAATCTGATTCTAAGAAAGCATTCAGGGACTCAATCATGATTGTTGAAAGCCTGCCTGAAAAGATGGGTCTTTGGCAGTCAGTGGAAGGATAAAAGGGAGGTGGGCCAACCTGATCTCCCGAGGGAGAGCGTTCCATAACCTGGGAGCAGCCACAGAGAAGGCCCCCTCCTGTATAAGCCTTGTCTGCACTGGCAATGGGGACAATAATAGGGCATCCTCTGATTATCTTAAACTCCGATAAGGCTCATATGGGGAGATTCAGATCTACCATTAGGCAGAGGGTGGCAGACACCTCATGCAGTAGAGGTGAGGGATCAGGCATTAAAATCTTGTAGCTAATCCTCAAGGACTTTCTGGAGGCTTTTCCTCTGTTGGGGAATACAGCTTGTCTACATTGCAAAAATTGTCCTGGGCCCTTCTAAACCTGTTGGCTGGTGTAGTGGAAGACACCATCCAATAGAGCTTGCAAAAGTTACTTTTCGGACTCTAGCTCCAGAATCTCCCAGCTGAGAAGCGTACTCCAAAAAGTCACATTTCTAAGCTCTGTCACTGAAGTGCTGCTCAACTGCCGGTCTACATGGGCTTCTGGACGTGAAATGAAGAGAGAGAGTGAGTTGCATGGTAGCCTCAGGTTGTCAGATGCCTTGCGCCAGACCTGTCTCAGAAACATGGGTGGTTAATCACATTTTCTAGGAATGTCTTACCTGAAATGAATAGCTCAGTTTTACTTTTCTTTTCTTTAATGAGTGTGGGATGGAATCCTTGGCCTTTGTCAGTCCTAGGTCTAACATCACAGAATGCCCAGGAAAGCAAGGACCATTCTGAAAATAGTACAGTGGTGCCTCGCTAGACGATGATAATCCATTCCATTAAAATCGCTGTTTAGCGAAATCATTGTCTAGCGAAAAGCATTTCCCTATTGGAATGCATTTAAATCTGTTTAATGCGTTCCAATGGGGAAGAATTGTCGTTGTCTAGCGAAGATCGGCCATAGGAAAGCCGCTTTGCGAACCGCCGATCAGCTGTTTAAATCACTGTCTTGTGAAGCTTAACACCCGTTTTGCGAGCGCGGAGGGAGCTGTCAAAATTGTTGTCTAGTTCAAATCAGTTTGCGAAGCAGGGACCAAACATTGTCCAGCGAAATTCCCCCACAGGAATCACTGTTTTGCGAATCGCTATAGCGATTGCAAAAAGTCAATGTCTAGCGAAAAAACTGTCATCCGGGGTAACTGTCTAGAGAGGCACCACTGTAAATGTATGTTGATGCGCATGAAGTTTAAAAGTCAAAGCTACGGTTCAGTGGGGTATTTCTTACAAGTAGCCCTGGTTTTATCTTTTGCATTCCCCCCCCAAACACACACATTTGTCCCCACCGTTTCATCTTCCACCATAGCCATGAAACATACTTTTTAATGGATGTTAAAAATACATTCCATGGCACCGAAAGCGATTTTGTTACCATTGTATTTTTATATTTTTCAAAGTGTTCATACTCCTTTTTCATTATTCCGTGTACCTTCTTTAAATTACTTAAGCAGCCTCCCTCCGCCTTCTCAGAAGGTTTATTTATGACTATAATGTATTCATGTATATTTAGCAAACTAGTCCGATTAGACTAGAGGGATTTTCACTGCACATAGCGATCCAGTTGAATAAGCAACTTCATAAACCAATATAATGTGATGCTCGATTGTTTGACCAGTAATGCCTGGCCAGAAATCTGCCTCTCTCTCTCTCTCTCTCTCTCTCTCTCTCTCTCTTGGTCAGTTATTATATCTCTTTTATGATCTCTTCAGGAATGCAAAATAAAACTACGGCAAAGAAATGCATCAAACCGGGGGCATGCCAGAAGGGCCTTGTTGTTTTCAATGCAGGCAAGAATGGAACCATATTAAGCCACGTTTCCTGCTGCACGGGAGATGAATGCAAGAAGCCTGCTCCACCATGTATGCCACAGATGTACCCTACTTTTCCTTTCTCTGTCCTATCTTACCTTATTCGATTCCATGAAAAAGAAACCTTCTCCTTTCTCACTTAGCCGAAACCCTATTTCTAACTGCACTGAGTTCCTGTTCATGTATCTTATACTACGGAGTTTGGAAATAATATGTTACTCTTGTCTCTCTTTTTAAAAAGTAAATAAGGTGTTAAAAAGTTATATTTCAAAGTGTAATAAGAGCTAATTTTAAACTAACGTAACAGTCACCATAATGATATGAAAAATAGTTTCATTTTTAAAATTCCTTTTGAAGGGTATTTTAAGTCATTTTAAATGCCTTTGGATAAGAATGTTTTAAATTCACTGCCATTCTGTCACCAGCCCTTAAGGCAGGTTTATTTGTTTGCTTCATAAACAGAGTAATGCAAAGGAAAAGAAAAGGGACGAGTGAAACAACAAGTTATATTTTTTTGGCACTCTAAGAAGTAATGAGCTTCTGGATAGGTTAGGAAGTGGGAGCACCTGGCTGAGGAGTTAAATATTGACAGTTGGATTCCCCACTGTGCCTTGTAGGAGAAGAACCAGCCTGTGTAGCCTAGGGCAAGCTGCACAGCCTAGAACACATCTAAGAGGAGAGATGAGTGAATAGGGTATTTATACCTAGGAAAGGGACATGGTGGCGCTGCGGGTTAAATCGCAGAAGCCTCTGTGCTGCAAGGTCAGAAGACCAGCGGTCGTAAGATCGAATCCACACAACGGAGTGAGCTCCCATCACTTATCCCAGCTCCTGCTAACCTAACACTTCAAAAGCATGTAAAAATGCAAGTAGATGAATAGGTACCACCACGGTGGGAAGGTAACAGTGTTCCATGTCTAGTCGCGCTGCCCACGTGACCACGGAAACTGTCTACAGACAAACGCTGGCTCTGCGCTTGGAGACAGGGATGAGTACCGCACCCTAGAGTCAGACACTATGACTAAATGTCAAGGGGAACCTTTATCTTACCTAGGAAACTTAGGGATGGTTGCCATAAATAAGGGTTGACTTGACCCTACCTAATTATTTAATGAGTAATAATGACAATGCATTCTTTCCTTTAAAGGAGTGGGAACACATTACTACTAAAAAGTAACTTTCCAAACTCTTTCTGGATAATTGAAGCAGCAGCAACAACATATGTGTTTATATTTTGGCACAATTTAATGCTTCAGTGCCATTTCGTATTTGTTTCTTTTCTTTATTTTCCACCACCCAGAGTAGTGATTTTTTTAGATGGGTGGTATATAAACTGATTAATAAATATGCAAAGAAGGCCAGTGGTTAGTTTTGGTGACTTATGGACATTTGTTCCCCCATCTCCTAAGCAATAAACGTATCTCTACCAGCTTAAAAATGGAGAGGAAAGGGGTATGTATACCCATAATTTGGTCTAAGTAGTTTGGCCACTATGGTCTCCTTTCATCTTATATCTAATGATCTTCCTTGTAGTGCCACCAAGAAATTTCACATCCCTTAGGGAGAAGAGGACTTGCCCAGCTTGCTATTCAGAGAAGGAAGTCTGCAAAGAAGAGACCATTGAATGTCGAGGAGAGGATGAGACCCATTGTGTTGAGCTGTTTTATCAGACTTCAGATGCAGGTAACAACAGAGAGACTCTTGCTCATACTTTATCTACCCCAATACAGGCTGTCCATGATGTTACTATTTCCAGCTTAGATATGAATCAAGGAAAGGTTACTGAGTTGTCTGCAAAGCCAACCCTTGTCTGGGGGTGGTGGTGAGGGATCAATACCTTCTCCAAAGACCATCTTTGGAGTCAACCATGACTTCCCAAGGTTTTCTATGCCTCTGCCCATTCCGCTTCCCAGTTTTGTCACCTGTCATGGTTCCTCTTTCTGTACCTCTTTTCTCTGATATAAACAGGTATATTGAAATGAATCAAAATTTGGTTAACAAAAGCAAAAGTGGAATGAGAACATCAGTATATGTGAGAGACTGGGTGTTGTGCATAAATCAAAATTTAGTAAACAAAAGCAAAAGTGGAACGAGAACGTCTAAAGTATATGTGAGAGACTGGGTGTTGTGCATTCTGATTATCTAACTTCCATATCATGGCTTCAGTTCAAGATCCCTCAGGTCAAAGATTCTCTGAGAAAGCTGCTGATCCATTCCATAAACCTTCTGAAGTAGATCCACCCATCCTGTCTCCTGAATCTCAGAGGAAGGCACTTCTGCCTCTGGATTCTAATGGTTTCAATTTGGACTACTTGAAGGAACAAGGCATTCCTTAAAGGGAGATTAATAAAATCCACACAAAGCAAACTTTGAACACTAATGGCTTTATAAAAGGGCTGTTTATAGATTCAACACGCAGAGGATGGATGTTTTGTTTTGAGTCCAGACTCTTTAGACCAGACTAAGAAGCATTGGTGCCTCTAGATTAGTGCTCTTCAATTTACTTGGAAAATCACTGTCCATGGTCCTGAATTTCGGTTGCTAGACTAGCACTTTTGCATCTCTCCAGGGTCATTAATTTTCCCTCCTCCAAAATGCTCAGGAAGTCCTACCCTGGCCTTCTCAATTCCACTTATCACTTTCTCTCAGTAGCAGTGAATGACACGGACCAATTCAATCTCAGCCCAAAAAGGATATGCATTCATGAAAACAAGTGGAACTGCATTTTCTTTGGCTGTTTCAAAGGTCCACCAATTAGCCAAGGTCCATCTTGAGCTGCCTCCTCCTCTTCTTTTCCCTTTGTGGGCTAGTTCCATCAACAGCCCATGCCTTTGCTCTTTTTCCCTACATGAGAGGAGAGAGAGAGATGTCTCCTTTGGGTTCTATCTTATCTTCATCCCCCACCACTGAATCTGGTTCTTGGCTAGTTTCAAAGTTAACGATTGCTCCACCAAGAAAGAGAGGAAGGAAGAATCTTAAAGGGCACTGCAAATCTCCTGATGCTGTGCTTTTTTTTCCAGAAGGAAGAAATGTGACAACCACCATGAAGGGATGTGCAAACAAGGCTTTATGTGATAATCAGGATGATTTTGCTACAGGCAGTTTACTTCCTGCAAGCCTTTGTAAGGTTGCCAATGGAGCAGGCAGCACCATTGAGGGATGGTCTGGGTTTCTCCTGTTATCCCAGGTTCAGCTCTTGTTGGGGCAAATCCTTCCTTGATGTCTCCTCAGCACTGAGGCTCAGCTTGAGCATTCACACCTTCTCCTTTTGCTTGCCTCTTTTAAGTCTTATACATGCCAGAGGCCTTTTGGAGAATGCACAGCAAGGACTGCTCATGGTTCAAAGGCTCAATTTAAAATTTCTGTCTTAATCTCTATGTGTAAGGTCATCCAGCAGCTGTAAACAATGCCTTCTAGCAGGGACAGGAAAAGATAAGTGACTCTAGGTGGTGATGAGTGAAGAGAGTTCGCTGGAAGAGCAAAATCACAATACTGCAACACTACGCTTGTGGACTACTCTACAGTTCCTGGAATGCTCAGCAGTGACTGGTATATACCAGTCACATCATGAACTGGATGGGCACATTAGGTGATATATTCACTCTGAACATATGACATTGTTTTTTCCTGAGTCAGGCTGCTGGTTGATAATCTGACATTGTCTTCTAGGGGTGTGGACCCAATATGAATAAATCCTGAATTAGTAACTGATTTGGACTGGTTTTTATCTGGGTTGAAATGGAACAGAAGGGGATTTGGTCATAAGGCAAAGCAAAATGAACTTGAAAATCAGTTTACATTGGGAGCACAAATCAAATTGGACAAGGCACAAATAGCCTGAATCCTTTATTCCTATTCCCTTCCCTTTTGGTGGATGAAGTCTTCCTTTAGACTGCTTCTCCCTTTTGTCTCATCGACTGACATTTACATGCTCAACAACTTATTTTGAGACATTGGTAAGAGAAAGAATAAAAAGATTTATTACTTACAGTTGAACAGATCAAAACACCATGCTGTGCAAAAATGACTGCTTCATAGCAACAGGCCCGAACGGACTTAGCCTGCTTCCAGAAGATTCCTGCAGACCACATTCTTTAACTGCACACAATAACTACACAACAGACTAGAAAGGAGGGGGGGAAGGCACTTAACTGGACTGGTGTGGCTCTCTTTGAAATCAGAGGCACTGAAGGAACACTTGGTTATCGCTGGATTGATTGACAGTCACCCTAGCCTTTTTTTGAGGTCGTTTTTGAGCCAGACCTGCTAAAGGCAGCATGCAAGACTGAAAGGACTCCAACAAACTGAAACAGGAAAATAAATGCATTAAGATGCCAGGGTCTTATCTGTCCCATTTATGTCAATCAGTTTAGTCCATGACTGAATCTGGCTCCAACCCAGAGTATATCTCCCAATTGGAATCAATTCTGAGAAAAAAAGGGGGCAGAATGCACACTTTATTGACTTCTGAGAAAACATTAGATAAAAGATGTACTGCTGATAATAAATCTATAGCTTCATGCCCATCCTGCTTCACTTGGAAAAAAGAGAATTACTGCATTGAAGGAGTTGGAACTGAAGTCAGGGGCCTGCTTCACTTGGAAAAAAGATTGGAAAAAAAGAGAATTAATACATTGAAGGAGTTGGAACTGAAGTCAGGGGCAATTAAACCTGCACACATGCATGTATGCAACTTTGGATGTAAAGAACATGTACTGCATTTTTCCTTATCATTGGTTTAGGCTACGTTGTCTTGACAAGATACTTTGATGAGCAATTTTTAAGTCCTGAAAAAATCCTCACCAGTGAGAGAATGAGTACATTCCCTCTGCCCTGAAGATCTCCCTAAGTTGCACAAACTGTCTGAGGAACCTTAGGACCTTTCCCTGTGAGAAGCAGAGGAAATACAGATACAACACACAGACAACAATGGCTGTTTGTTAAAAGAGACACAAACACCCCATCCAATGCTTCCAATCCTTCAAAAACTACACAGCAACAATCTTTGTCATTTTCCCCAAATTCGATCAATTTTGCACACTTTTGATTGCTACAGAGGAAAACATTCCTCCTTGTCTTATCTTTTTATCTGTGCCATCAAATATCTTGTTTCTTTCCTGGGCAAGGAAGATAATTTGGCCATTCCCAGCCTTTGTCTGAAAGGACAGGATGAGCAGGAATTTGTGGGGGGTGGCGGTTTGAAGTGCTACTTTATACAAATTCGCAGAAGTAGTCGAAATCATTTATGAATTTCCAGTTTACTGAACACATTTCCAGTATACTGAATCACAGATTCATGTCTATCCAATATTAATGTATATTTTAGTAAAAAGGGACGTTGTAATATTGTAAGCCAACCATTTGAGACTGATCTTGATCCATTCTCAATCAATTTTATTTCACAAGGACCGTAAGAATTGCTCTGAGGTAATTTAGCAAATGGCATTCTTGAAATTGTTGTAATTATATTATAAACCACTTGGCTAGCAACTGGGTAAGGTTCTGCCTGGCTGCTTTCCATTATTTTAATACACTTTAAAAGGGGGGGGGCGGCTTGTGGATGGCTTGTTTTAATGATAGATGAAGAGTCAAGGAGGGGAAAGTGGCAAGTCACTTCCATCCACCCACATCAAGGACGCAGAAGACAAACCCCAAGCAAACCTTTCTTCTCTTCTCTCTGCAAAATGCCACCAAGATCAACTACACAAATTGAGATGTAAACATTGAGAGCTGTTTGGTTCATGATTTATTAGATGCTAAAGACCCTCTTACTTATATACTTTTTAAAAAAGTAAACAAAAGAGGAGCAAATCATGCTGCTTATATACTGCCCCATAGTACTTAAAATACTCACCGGATGGTTTCAGTTTTAGTTACATGTTTCTTCTCCCCCCCCCCAACAGCTGGGTACCAATTTACCAATCTCAGAAGATGGAAGGCTGAGTCAACTTCAAGCTAGCTATTGAGAATTGGACCCAGATTGTGAGCAGAGTTTTGGCTGCAGTACTGCAGTTTACCCACTGTGACACCTGCATTACTGGCTGTCCAATTTAATGCACACAGAAGCCAACAAAATATGAGAATTGCCTTCTTTTAATTTTATTTCATGTATTATTTTCTACCACCACTGCATTCATCATTTCGGTATTCATCCTGTTGGGGAGATGATGAAATGAAATGATGACACCCAGCAGTTGACCCTGAGTCCGGGGATTGTGTCCCAATGTCCATCTTCTTCCTCATGGAGGCGATCATTGGGCCAAAGTATTTGAAGAAGTAGCTGTGTTGGTGTTTGCAAGCATGGCCATCCATCCATCCATCCATCCATCCATCCATCCATCCATCCATCCATCCATCCATCCATCCATCCATCCATCCATCCATCCATCTATCTATCTATCTATCTATCTATCTATCTATCTAACCAACCAACCAACCAACCAACCAACCAACCAACCAACCAACCAACCAACCAACCCAACCAACCACCAACCAACCAACACAAACCATATTACAGGTGAACTAGAATATTTAAGATGACCTTTCATGGATCAAGTCCACTTCCTCAGCCATTATAGTGAAACTACATGCTTATTATATTTATACATGGTCCTATTATCTGTATCACCGCTGGGTCATAGGGCCATGTATAAATAAACAATTATGCAGTCTCGCTCTTGTGGCTGAGAAAGTGGAATTGATCCATGAAAGCTCACATTAAAACATAGCCGTAAGTCTTTAAAGTGACATAAGGTTTTTGTGATGCTTTTTTTTTCCTTTTGTTTTTGCCTCACGTGCTAGCACAGACTCTTCCAAAACTTAGTTCTCTCCCCTTATCCACTTATGGCTCCACTTACAATATGAGGAAAGTAAAACCTATGCATATTTATGTGCATGGATGCCATCTGTAGTCCAGGTTGGCCATTACTGATCCCATTTCAGGGAAAACACAATTCTACCCAGCTTATTTTCTTCACAACCTTCAGCGGCATTTCTTAGCAAACCATTCTAAAGCATAATGTCACCACCACCATGTTCTACTACTGCCAGAGGTTAGAGCAGATTGTTAAACAAAAATGAACATATGGATAGCATGACCAGTTTAATAACGATTGACTATTCTTCATTTTCTGTAAAACATATGATCTCTCTGTGACCTCAGAGCTGTGAGCAAATGGCAAGGGAGAGCGTCTTACATCTTTGAGGCAGAAGGAAATCAAGCAATGCTCTTCAGAAGAAAGAGTCCACCAAGGACTGGAAGGAAGTACACACTGAGGCCTTGAACAGTGCTAGTTGCGAGCTCACAATTACCTGACCCAATTAACGTGAGCGAGGCAAGATGGACAGCCCCCTCGTGAAACGTGTCACAGAAAACCTGGTTAGCACAGCCCCTGATCGCAATGTGTGAAGATATGACAGGGTCCCCTGTGGAAAAAAAGAAGAAGAGGAGGATGGTGAGCATCAAGAATACAGCTGTCCATCATATATTACCGTAGCGGTCACTCTGTCATGCATATTCAGCGGTGCATTTGCATGAAATGAAACAATAGGGGGCTGTTGGGAGGCAGAGTCAGCTACATATAAGGGGGGGACTGAAGCAGAGAGTGGAAGATATAGGAAAAAGGAGTCATATATTACTGTTGCGGTCACTCTGTCATGCATATTCAGCAGTGCATTTGCATGAAATGAAACAATAGGGGGCTGTTGGGAGGCAGAGTCAGCTACATATAAGGGGGGGACTGAAGCAGAGAGTGGAAGATATAGGAAAAAGGAGTTGAGAGTTTGAAGAGAGAGAGAGGGAGTTTTGTGGCAGAGAGAGATTTTAGTGAGTGAACAGTCAGAGTGTTACCTGTATTAGTTAAGTATAGAATAGGTTAAAGGAATATACTGAAAGCTTTGTGTTAACTCTAAGAATGTGCTTAAGAACTATTCATGAAACAACTTGTAACCAATAAATCTTATTTCTACGTTAAGTACTGAATGGACCTCAGTCTTTCATAGTAAACATAGTTGGTAAAGAGATCAACTGGTGGCAGTGTAGTAAAGGACGTGGTGGGGGCCTAAGATTGGGCACATAATCTAAGTACATGCAAGAGGCATGTCAAAGATTGATGGTGAGCGACAGGATCCTGAGATGAGTGATGTTAGCTGGTAGGACGGTTGTGACGATTTCCATTTCAGAAAGCCCATGGTCAACTATCTTACCAAGGGACCAGATTCAAAGAATTGGAGAGAAGGCAGTTAAGACCACACTCGTGTGACCTGATCATCATAGTCTTCACAAATCTCTTTCCCATCACAAAACACTTACACACATCCTGGTGGCTCAAGTTGCCATACTGTCTCTGCGTGCATTAGCCAGAAGGAGGGAATGGAAGAATGGAAGGAGGGAATGGAAAAGAGAGAGAGAGAGATAGAGAGAAGTACATTACCAATGCTTGCAAAAGTTCCACTGACTCCAGCACTTGCTATCCCGTATATGAGGAGGCAGTAAAGCTGGTCTCCCACACAGCGAACAGTCCCTTCTGACTGGCATATTGTTTTTGAAAAAGTAAGGCACACAGGACAGGCTTTCCCGTTGGCCGTTGTATTGATGGGTGGCACTGTTGGAGAGAGGAGACCATCAGTTTGGGAATGGGCACTCAAGCGGAGCTTCCAGCCTGGCAAGGCGGGAACGTCACATGCCCAACTTTGTTCTCTACTGGACTCCTTTCTTCCTGTCATGGTTTTCAACGGCTACTAAGTCTCGGGACTAGAGATGGGCCCGAAACCACAGAAATGATGAGCCAGGGCAGTTCGTGGCTACCCACAACCTCCTTCCCCCGAACCCTGGAGCAAGGAACTGATTTGTGGTTCGTTTTTCCGGTTTGTGCCCGAGGGGGGAAGGGAACCTGGAAACATTTTTTACAGTCCAGAAGGTGGTGACAAGCACAAACTCCTTCACTGCTTGGAGAGAAATGTTTCTTTCCTCTTCCTTCCCACAGAAGAAATGGGACAACCTGCTGAGGGTGACCAAGGACACTGGGAAAAGCTAGGGGGAGGTTTTAATGGAGAATTCCCGTATTCTAGAGTGACCCTAGAGTATCGTTTTCACATCCTAATGAAGGTAGATTGGATATTTTCCTGTGGTAGGTGGACCTTACAGCATGCTTGCTATTTCCAGTGAATGACCCCCTGATACCGTTTGAAGGTGAATTTGTAAATGGCATCATACGAGGGAGAGCAGGCTTCCGGCAGTCGTCCCCTTTGCAGCAAGAAACCTTGGTGGTGATGATTCCTCTTCTGCCTATATTAACGATGGAGACGCCTTCACTGCAAATACTGCTTCCGATGCATTTCTTCAGCACAGCACGTTTTCCTGCAGGGATTCAAAAGGGACAGTATATTTTCAACTGAAGTAGCCATCTTGGGATGAACAGCTCCTGACAACTCACCTGCTTTATTTTACAGATGCATTGCATGGCCCTTTTGCCTGCTATGCAGAGGTGAGGGAAAGCTGTGGGTGCAAGATTGTAAGGGGTGCATGGTTTTGTGTGTTTGGGTGTGTGTGGCCCGCAGAGAAAATCTGCATGCCTTCAAAATGAATGTTCCCATGTCATTGTAAATATCAGACTGCAGTGACTGCTGCCTTGTTACATGGACTTTTAAAGGCAGAAGCACCGGATGGGTTTCTCTCCTCTTTCTGAACAACCAGTCAGTCCTGTTGTGCTTGGCCTATCTCTCTTGTTCTTCTCTCTGTCTTTTCCCCTTGCTTAGCCTTACAGAGGGAAAAGATAGATACTTCACATAACATGAGGGGATTTAACTTGGTTTTGTACTACAAGCAAGACCTCTTGCAGGAACTTGAAAATCTTTGACAGGATGTCTCACCACATTGAGACGGTTTTTTCATATGAATCTTTGGCAAACATTTCTTGATCTCCCCAGGCAGGGTCTTTCCCACCCCTTGTACACAAAATCCTTTCAGGACAAAATGTGGAATGATGAAACTCAATGATTCTGATTTTTCAGGGATGGTAATCAAGCTTCAAGTTTTACTTGGAACACCCAGGAGCTGTCTAAGGTTCTGAACTCTATGCCCTGAATAATTTAAGTACCATGGACAACTCTTGTAAAGTTCAGACACAAGTCTGAAGTGTTTGCTGCCCAATAAAAATCATCGACTCTGTTACATCAAAAGTTGCACAGAAAACTTGATGTATGCAATGTATGCAGTCCCCCAGAGAGTTGTGGCTTCATTGTTCCAGAGCTTAGAAAAGTTACTTTTTTGGACAACATGCCTCCAAATTATTCCACTACCATGGCTGATGGATGGTGTGATTTAACCTAAAGCTAGAAAAGCTACCGCCAAGTGGGAGTGGTGAATTCCAGCAGTTTTCATTTGTTTTATGTTTTTCATTCTCTCACCATCTTTGATGTGACAGATTGAAAAGGGAGAAACTTTTAACAGTAGATGTTATATTATTTTTTTGTTGTTATATATTTTTAAATGGTTTTAAAATCCTGTTAATTCAGTGCTTCTTTTAATGTCGTGATCTATGTAAGAGTGTTTGAATATTGTGATTTCTAGTGCTTTTAAAAGCTGCACCAAGTTTTTAAATTTACATTGTCAGACACTCTGGTTCCTGAAAGGGAGAAAACCAGGCTATAAATAAAATATTAAAAATTAACTTGGCTCAACTTAAATTAAATTAAATTAAACTCCATTAAACTAACCCAGCCAAGGCTTTTGAACTTCTTTTCTAGTATGGACATTTGTGCTTAATCTAGCCATTTCTTTTTCCATCGATCAAGGCATGTCTGGACACATTTTTCAAATCTATGAATCTTTAGTTGTGTTCGTTTGCATGCATGCAATGTGGTGGGGTTGTTGATATGACAAAAGGACCTAAGAATCTGATACTGTTTCATGCTGATGAAAGGGATCTGAGAGGGAAGTGTATTTGTTCGTAATTAATGCATCAAGAACAGAGATGGGCATGAACCACAAAAACGGTGGTTCGTGGTGGTCCTTGGTTTGTGGCTACCCACAAACCACGAACCAGCCAAATTTTTCAAAAAAACAAAACAAACAAATCATAAACATTTTTTTAAAAAATTGTGTGCTGGGGGAAGGGGAAACTACCCTATTTTTCTGAGTATAAGACTATACTTTCATCTAAAATCTTTAGACTAAAAATTGAGGGTCGTCTTGTACACAGAAGTAAGCTGAGGAGAGAACAAAAACAAGTGGAGGGGAAAGCAGGGATCAAAGCGATCCTGCAGGGCTTTTATCCCTTTCCCCCTGCACTTGCTAAGCCCCATTTAGATTTCATAATTTTGGATTAGAAAAGTGGGGGTCATCTTATACATGGGGGTGTCTTATACATGGAAAAATACGGTAAATCCCCACCCCCACAGCCGGCCTGCTGTCCCTTTCCCACAGCCCCCGTTTCCTCTATACCTGGTATTGCCACTGCCTCCTCCTCCTCCATTGTCATTCCAGCTGCAAATGGGTGAGGTGCCACCACCCAGCCCTGATCAGCTGATAGGCAGGCACATGAGCAGAGACCGCAGGCCCGTCTCCTGGGAGGGAAGCCATGCTTCCTCTCAAAATGGTGGTGGAGGCAGAGGACGAAGGCAACAGGATTAGGTAGGGAAGCGATGGGGCAGTGGGATGGGAGTAGGGGGCAGGCTGTGGAGAAGTTCATTAAATCTTTTACAAAGTTCATGGTTCGGGTTGGATCAGGTCTGTCAGTTATGATGAAACCGAACTAACTTGAATCAACGAACTAGCGATTTTTGAGGAACTTCTGGTTTGTTTTTTAGTTCGTGCCCATCTCTGATCAAGAGGTGTGAATTTTAAAAGGGGATGATGGTTCAAGGCTTAGGCCGATAGTACCTGGGAGGCTCCCCACCCTCTTACTTACCCTTGGAGTGATAAGGCTTGTTTATGCTGAAGGCTGAAAGACACAACCAGAAGCAGAATTAGATTAGGAATTAATGGATGCCTGCAACTGTTGGGGGCAAGTAGAACAGAACCAGCAGGAAGTAACATGAAGGCCTCTTGTACTCAGGAACAACAATGCCAGCACCAAGGTAGGTTCATATGGCACAGTTAGACACTTCGGATGCTGAAACTGCAACTGGGTATGGAATTGAGTTGTGCTTTTTCACTGGTACATGCAAATTGCTTAGCAATATTCATGACCTGGGTGGACGCCATATACTTTTCCACATAGTTCCAACCAATGATTCAGCCAGCTCTTACTCATAGAAGACAAGACTCCAGTGTCTTTTCAATGTACTCCACATGTGGAGTAGGGTTGTGAATTTGGGTGTTTCTGGATCTCACCTATTTCTGAAGATATTTCTTACATTTTCTCCTTCTGCTAGGAGGAAAAAATCCCCAGCATAATTCCTTTGGTGCTATGCAGAAATTGAAACCAGTGTCTACAGAATTCCTTGCCAGCCCCTAGAAAAATTTCACTTACTGCTAGCTAAGCAAACAATGAAAGTTAAACAGATTGTCTTTGAGCTTTGGCCTTTGCACCATTAAAGCTGACAAGTGCACCTGTTCTTTGAGATAGATAGATAGATAGATAGATAGATAGATAGATAGATAGATAGATAGATAGATAGATAGATAGATAGATAGATAGATAGATAGATAGATAGATAGATAGATAGA